GGTTTTCAGCGTGTGGCCGATTACAAGCCAGGACAAAGCACCATCACCGCTGCAGGTGCACTGGAAGCTGGTTCTGGTCTCCCCGGCTCGGAGACGGGGCCTGGGGGTGGGGTGGGGTCACTGGGTCTTCAAGCTTTGACCACTTCCTCCATTTGAGGGTACCCCAGATGGGCAGGGAGGTGGGGTGTACCGAGCCCCGGAGTCACTGGGCCTCCGCACGCGAGCATATGGGACCGAGCCGGGTCGTGCCGCGCGCCTCGGACAAGCCCCGTCTGTCCTCGCCGCCCCCCGCCCGCACCCAGGCCCCTCGCGGCCCGACCCCACCCGCCCGGGCCGACCCCGCGGCCACCGGCTGCCGCGCGCGCGCCCTCCCGCCGCCGCCCGGCGCCCCCCGAGTCCCCGCAGGGGCGCCGCGCCCCGCCGTCCCGCCGTCCCGCCCGCCCCTCGGGCTCGGCCGCGCGCCGCGTACCTGCCTCCCCGCCGCCGCCCGGCCCCGCGCCCGGCCCGCACTCCAGGCCGGGATGCTTTCCGGCGCCCGCTCGCTCCCGTTTGCCTTCCGTCCACGTCCCGCAAGATGACGTTACGTCAGCGGCGCTGGAGCAAGCCCAGGCCTCGGGCCCTCCGCCGCTGACGTACGGGCGAGGCGCCGGCCCCAGGCTGCGCCGCGGCGATGGCGTAGGCGCTCTCCGAGAATGCGCCCGCGCTCCACGTGGCGGGCTCGCCCCGGAGGCCGGCGGCGCTGGGAGGCGGGGCGGCAGGTCCCGGGGAGCGCCCGCCGGGCTGGGGCGCCGCCGCGGGTGTCGGGGCGCCGCGCCTGCCGGCCTCTGGGGAGGGGGTGGAGAAGCCTGGAGCTTCAGCTGTTGGTGGGTTTCATAAGGTGTGTTTGTCAGCGCTGGTCGTTGTATCCCGAGCACACCGAGGAAATAGGGTGGGTCAATGTACACAGTTTTGCAGAGCCACGCTCGCGGCTGAGCGCCGCCCCTGAAGTGGGTGTGCCCCTGTGTGGGGGAGATTTTGGCACCGCGATCAAATAATTCTCCCCCTGGTCTGAAGCTTTCCCCAGTGCTCCCAGTTCATTTAAAAAGTTATGTTTAATCCCCAACACTTGGAACTATTCACAGGCAAATGCAAGACCTGTTAGGGGGAAAAGGATGTCCTAAAGCTAATTCCATGCAGGCTTTGTGGACTCCACCCCCACCCCAGGCCAAAGCCAAAGACACTGGGAACTCCACATCCCATCCCCACCAAAGGGAAGGTGGCTGGGACCTGAGGGTGGGGTTAAGCAGCCAGGTTGATATAAAAGGCAGACACGTGGGCTTTGGGGGGGGGCTCCCCATTTTGGCTCTCCGCCAGCTCGCAGCAGTCTGGCCAGCTGTGAGAGTGACTTTGGGTTTCCAGGTCGTCGGATCGGGTAGGACGCATTAAAGGCTTTATTTTCCTATTTTCTCCCTGAGTAGTACATTTTCCTTATTTCCTTTTCCCTTGTAAATAAACCTTTTATTAACCTTTTGTGTGTGCCTGTAGTGGAGTATTCTTAAGTCCCTTTTAAGCGCGCGGGTGAGGACCCACAGCCAGGAACCCGTTCAATATTGGGGCTGCTCTATAACAGCTTGGCGCCCAAGTGGAAGGTGGGAGGTAAAAGGGGGAAATGGTGGGGGCACAGTACTTGATTGGAGGTCAGTGACAGAAAAATAATTTTATTCCTAAAGTCAAACTGTTACAGAGCAATCCTTATATAAAACGGGTTGCCTGACTGTTGAGTCCTCAATAATGAACTGCAGGCACACACAAAAGGTTAATAAAAGGTTTATTTACAAAAGAAAGGGAAAATGAAGAAATGAATAACTCAGGGAGAAAAAGAGGGAGATAAATTCATGAATGTGTCCTACCAGTTCAGCCAACCTGGAATCCCAAAGGCACCTGAGCCTTTGGCAAAAAGGCTGTCAAAAAGCCAGGAACCAAGAGTCGTGAGGCCACGAGAGCGCCCCAAGGCCCACATGTCTAGTTTTATACCAAACCTGGCAGCTTAACTCCACTCTCATATTTTAGTAACCCTCCCTTTGGTGATGATGGGATTTGTCATTTCCAGTGTCTTGATGGCTTTGGTCTGGAGTGGGGGTGGAGTCCACAAAACCTGCATGGAGTTTGCTGAGGACATCCTTTCCCCCTAACAAAACATCTTAATCGAAGGTTGGCCAGCTCCTACTGAACCTGTGTCTCATTCAGGCACTTGTTCTTTCCTTTTTATTTATGTATTCATTGATTTTTATTAGGCCACATTTGTTTATAATGCTGTAAATGATTCAGAGGTAAAGGATCACACCCTTCAAGTACATTCCAACCCCATCACCTTCCATCAAGGCATCTGTAGTCCTCCACATAGTCCTTCATGCCCCCTCAGCTTGGTAACCACAATTCTAGCAGATTTCTAGAGTTTGTTATTGGTTTGGTTTTATCTGACCATTTGTGTTGTTCCTCTGTAATTCACATGTAAGTGACATCATCTAATTTTTGTTTCTTCTTACTTACCTTGCTTAGCATAATCCCCTCCAGTTCTATCCATGCTGTTGCAAATGGCAAGAATTGATCTTTTCCCATAGCTGAGTAGCATCCCATTGTGTATATACCACATCTTCCTGATCTACTCCTCTATCTTTGGGCATTTAGGTTTTCCATGGCATGACTATTGTAAACAGTGTGCATGAACATAGGAGTGCATATATCCCTTCAAACTAGTATTTTTGTATTCTATGGGTGGACAGCTAGGAGTGGAATTGCTGGGTTGTGTGTAGATTCAGTTTTATTTATTTTTATTTATTTTTAAATTTATACAATAGCTGGGGTACAAGCCAGAGGCGCGGGAGGGTGAGAGGATTCACCAGAGACAGAGCGGGGAGCAGAAAAGGCAGACAGACCGAAAGCACTGCTGAGGGGAGCAGCGGGCACGACTTTAGAGGTCTGCTGCGCCATGTGGGAATGGGAATCTCCCTGGCTGGCCAGGAATCGAACCCGTGCTGCAGAGGCTGTGGATAGCTTCGCAGTGCTGCGCTCAACCAGCTTTGCCACCAGGGAGGCCCCTAGATTCAGTTTTAATATTTTGAGAAATCTCTATACTGTATTCCATAGGTATTGGGCCAGTCTGTGTTCCCACCGGCAGTATACAAGTTTCTTTTCCACATCCTCACCAATACTTGTTTCTGGTCTTTTGATAGGGTCCATTCTCACAGGTATGAAGTGGTATCTCATTGTGGTTTTGATTTGCATTTTACTGATGATTAGTAATGAGCATTTTTTCATGCCTGTTGGTCATCTCCATGTCTTCTTTAGAGAAGTGCCTGTTTAGTTCTGTCCATTATTTGATGTTATTTTCTTTTTGTTAGGTTGTATAAATTATTCGTATATCTTGGATATCAGCCCCTTGACAGATGTATGGTGTGCAAATATTTTCTTCTATTAATTGGAATGTCTTTTTGTTTTAGTGATAATTTCTTTCACTAAAAATTCCTCTTCCTGACATTAGCATCCCAGACCCTTTTTTTGGCTAAGTATATATGTATGAATATTTTTTGTTTACGAAAGTAGGACCACAGATTATATGCATTATTTTGTAGTCTATTTTGTTCACTTAAAAATAGATCACAAATATTTCCCTGTAGCAATAAAGGACATTGTACTTAATTTTCAGTGGTTGTACAACATTCTAATCTATGGATATAATTTATTTAACCTATCCCTTATGAACACCTCCCGTAATTTGGAATTATTAAGTGGAATTATTGTTAAAGTTTATGAACATTTGATGTTCAACATCACTTGTAATCAGGGAAATGCAAATGAGATACCATCTTACACCAGTGAGAATGGCACATATTAAAAAAACTAGCAACAACAAATGTTGGCGAGGGTGTGGAGAAAAAGGAACTCTTCTGCACTGTTGGTGGGAGTGCAAACTGGTCCAACCACTATGGAAAGTTGTGTGGAGATTTCTGGACCTACTAAACATAGAGCTTCCATATGATCCAGCAATTCCACTCCTAGGTATTTACCCAAAGGACACAGAAACATCAATTCCAAAGAACACCTGCACCCCTATGTTTATAGCAGCACTATTTACAATAGCTAAGCTTTGGAAACAACCCAAATGCCCAAAAATAGATGAGTGGATCAAGAAGATGTGGTACATATATACCATGGAATATTACTCAGCATTCAAAAAAGATAAACATATGCAATTTGCAGCAACATGGATGGCGCTGGAAGGGATCATGCTCAGCGAAATAAGCCAGAAAGAAAAAGAAAAATACCAGATGGTCTCACTCATAGCAGGAATCTAGAAAACTTAAATAAGGGACCAGGAAAATGAATAACTATAAGAAAGTGAAAATCAAAATCAACAAAAAACTATGAACCAGAGACACTTTTTGGGGGGTGGGAGGGGCGGGATTGGGGTCAGAATGGGGGGGTTGCAATTGTATGGGGAATATAAAAATAAAATTTATTATTTAAAAAAAAAGTTTATGAACATTTGAAAGGTTTTTGGTACATATTAAATAACCACTTGCTCTGTCCAAATTTCTATTTGTTTATCCCCATTAAAAAGTGTTTGAGAGTACTTGTTTCTCTACATGTACAATAGGCTAGCTGGGAATTCAGTTTTGTATTGTTTTTTTATCCAGATTGTGCATACTCCTTTACAGTAAAACTTGCTTCTTAAATTGGATCTATGATTACAATGGAGATCTTTTGTGCAGTGAGTCAAATGGCTAACTACCTGTATAGATAAAGGGAGGAAACTAAGAAAACTGTAATGATTTTGAAAATGTTTTGAAAGTTAATTACAAGGAGAATGACTAAAGATAAGATTACCATAAAATCTTATTCAAGGTATGTTAAGCAGCATTAACTGGGCTTACAAACTCACCAAATTAGCAGAGAGATAGAGACCACTTGACGTATTTCTGCCTTGGGGAAAAAAGAAATAAAACCAAGTTGATTTCTGGTGTAAGATCTCATTTATTTCAGTTTAAAAAGGTCACCATGAGTTGGCAGTTTACAGTCACTAGGATGACCAAAATTAAAAAAGACAATAACAAAGAGTGATAAGGATGGAGAATTTGAAGCCTCAAATATTGCTGGTGGGATTGTAAGATGATACAGACACTATGGAAAGTATTTTGGCAGTTCCTCACTAAGGTAAATTTATGGAGCAATTCCACTCACATCAAAACACAAAACACAAAAGGCTTGTACATGAGTGGACATAGCAACATTATTTGCAATTTCCAAAACAAAAACAAACAAACAAAAAAATAGCAACCCAATGGACAAGATGTGGCATATGCATACAATTCAGTCACAAAAAGGAAAGAAGCGCCTCTAAGTTACAACATGGGTAAGCCTCGAAAACATGCCATATGAAAGAATCCAGATACAAAAGCTTTGTACTGTATGATTCCATTTACATGAGATGATCAAAATAGGCAAATCTGTAGGCAGAAAGTAGATTAGTGACTGCTAGGAACTAGGGGAGATGGGAAATTGGAAGTCACCACTAGTCAGTATAGGGTTTCTTTTTAAGATGATGAAAATGTTCTGGAATTAGTACTGATGGTTACGTAACTTTAAATATACTAAAAGCTATACTTTAAAAGAGTGAATTTTATAGTATATGAATTATATATGAGGTATCATCTTTTGATAAAGGCATAGAATGGCTTTATAGCACTTGGGGATGGGAATAAACTTGATTAAAGAAGAGGGACTGGATTCTGAAAAGGATTTGTAGACTCTTGGGAGTGGATTAGATGTCTCCCAACCCATAACTCAGGATGAGTTGTCATTTAAGTTTATTTACCTTAAAGGACCTGGAGAACCTAAATATTCTAGTAGTTTTATGGTTGGTTTTAGTACAGATATTCTTGGAAGTAGAGTTACTGAATTAACATTTATGTAATAGACTTTGGTGAAAACACATCAGCTTCCCAGCTCGACTCCCCTTGAGCAGAATCTCCTTTATATAGAAGCACTACCTCCAAGTTTAGTGTAATAGCTACAAGAACTTTGCCACTTTCCTCCAGGGAAGTAGGTTATTTCAGAGGCATTTTGGAACAAAGGACAATGATAAGCATGTCAGAGATGGTGTGTATAATTAGTGTCTTCTGCTCATGAAGCAGCATTTATCATAACTCTTCTCAAAGCGTGCCCCTCACTAGTCTGCTGAACAAATGTCTCCTGTGTCAGGTAAATCTCTCACTAAACTGTCAATTCACTGAGAGGCTATGGCTCACAATTCTGCTTTAGAGTAGGTGCTCAGTATTACTTTCACTAGAGTTAATTATTCAATCACATCCTATCCTTTGTTCTATTCTTTTTTAATAAAAGTAATTTAAAAGCTTAAGTCAATCAGATACAATGCCATGTTTTCTATCAAACTTTTGCCTTAATTACAAGGATAACATAATTTTGCTTTAGGCTTAAAACTTTTTATGCTTCCTGCTCCCCAATTTTCTTAACAACTTCCAACCAATTTTTCACCCAAGAATACTAGGATATTACCTTTTAAAGTAGTTTGCTCTGCAAGCCAGAAACTCTGAGGTGGCCATGCAGGTAGGGCCCAATTATGCACATGCATTGCCCTCTGTAAGCTGCTATTGCCTTAGGCTGCAAAAGTACATTCACTACTATCAGTGCCACGTAACTGCGTCTTCACTGAGTGTGACTCCAAGGAAAAGATTCCAAGTCCCTTGATTTGAATGCTGTGTACAATGTGTGAAAGTTTTTTCCTTTTTTTAAACCTCATACACATATAAAAATAATCACGAGGCAGAACATGCATTAATTAACTTTTGTGTGCTGCTGGAATTGACACAACAAAGTTCTCAGTCAGTTTTATTTCTCCTCTCCTCAATGGAAGGAAGGAAAGAACACAAGCGAGTGGTAGAGTCATTGGCTAGTAGACAAGAGGACTGCAATTCCACATTCATTTTTTGAAAACTGAGTAGCAAGAATGGCTTTTCCCCTTCAAGTGGGCAAAGAGTGTGTAGCCCAAGGGAGGAGCTGGACAAAGTAACAGCAGTTTTCTGTTTTGAGCAATCAGCTCCTCTCAAGTCCAGAAGAAAGGTTTTTCCAGGTTCACTTGATGGAAGGCAGGTGCATTTTCCTTTTGATCCTTGGCCCATGTGTGAGCAAATAGATGAAGATCTTGTAAACCTTTAGTCAGGCAAAACACAACCTGAAGAGCTGGAGGGAGGGCTTTTTGCATTGTTCCTGCTTAAGTAGTAGTGAACCTGATGTATATATATATACCTGTTGGTCTGCAAAGTCCTAAGCAGAGCTATGATCACTAAGGTCTTTTTATTGCTTTTCTAAAAGGCCATCTTTCATATATAAAGATTCCTTCAGTTAGATTCTCTACTATCCTAAACGCTCTCCTCTGGTTTTGAGCAGGTGAGGATCAATTTAGCCAAGATAAGCAGGCTGCTTCAGAACTTCCCATAGGGAAAATTAGAATCTGATTCTTATCCTTTTCATTTAGTCTCTAAGTTGAGAACTCCAAGTAGTAAAAGATATAGGGTAAGGATGAGAGAGACTGAGCCTTTTTGAGAGTCTACTCCTCTGCTGAATGCCACTTTGAAGGGAAAAAAGAAATCAAATGGAAACTTCCAGTCTATTCTGGGTTGGCCCCTTGGAGGCTCTGGTCTCTGGGTAATATCCACAAAGGTCACAACAGTTGTCAATGTTACTTCAGAATCCTGGAGGAAGAAAGTCCATGACATTTCAGCACTTGGCACCCAGCAATGTGACTGTTGTCATCACTTCTGAAGAAAGACTAAAATCAATTACTCTAAACAAGATATACCTTTTCCTCATATTGGTCCTATTTAGTCCTTATTCTATGAGACACAAGGAAACGAATTTTTTAGCAAGAGTCTATGACAAGAGAACTGTGAACAGCTATACATACCTAAGGACTGACTCTAGCTTCCCTCAATGGGGGATCTCCCCATTTATCAGAGAAGCCAGATGGCAAAACTACTGTTACATGCTTAGCAGCTCTACTTTATCAGGGCCCAGAGGCTCCAGGCTTTGAAAGAGCACTAGTGAAGTAGTGGTGGTAACTCTATTCCTTTTTCAACTGTAGGAGAAAATGTGAAAGTTCATTAAAAAAAAGCAAAGAACTTAGTAATGCAGATTTAAAAAAAATCAGATTCACAGAATCTCAGGAATAGAAAGAATCCTCCTAAATAACCACCAATTCAAGTGAAATAAAACAGATGCTCCTGGGAGAGGGGGAGTCTTGTTAAATGGACTCAAGTATCATATCTAATAGATATAGTAGGTGCAGTTGCAGTCTGATGACTGTTAATCTAAAAATCAAGTTTATCAAAAGTGAATTCCCTTTCTTCTGACTATGCTTACTAAAAAACCTGTTTATAATTTGGTAGTAAATAACTACCTTTTTGAACCAGAAATGAAAATTTTCTCCATTTACATTCCTTTACTCTGATGCCATATATTATCTGCCACTGTCTTTGGCAACAGTAAATACTAGCTCTGGTACTTTGCCTGGAATAATCCTCTAGGGTTTTTAAAAAAAATTTTAATGGGTATAGTACCTCATATGATAATCTTACATGTCATATTAATTCCTTAGATTCTTTTTTTTTTAAAGATTTATTTTATTTATTTTATGCATACAAGAGCTAGGGTGTAGGCCAGAGGTGGGGGGAGGGGATGAGAGGATTCACCAGAGACAGAGTAGGGAGCAGAACAAGCAGACTGACTGAAATACACTGCTGAGGGGAGTAGCAGTGAGACAGTAGAGGTCAAGTGGGTTAGCCTCCTGGCGGGGGATTGACCACTGCCAATAGCTTCATAGTGCTGAGACTTAACCCCTTGCACCACCAGGGAGGCTCCTGGATTCATTTCTTTAAACAGTTAATGTCTTAAAAAAGCGTAAGGAAAAGATATCATGAAAAGGAAACAGAATAAGAAAGCGCTCTTAGATATTAAAAACATGATAGCCAAGATGAATTCAATAAAAAGGCAAAAAGACAATGTTCAGGAACTCTTCTAGAAAACAAAAATATAATGAGTAGAAAATATAAATGAAAAAATTAGAGAATTAATCTAGTAACCTTGTAACAGATTAATGAAAGTTCCAAAAAGAGAGAACAATGAAAATAGTGGGAAAGAAATGATTAAATGTAATAATTGAAATTTTTCAGAACTCAGTTTTCAGAATAAAGTCCCCCACCCCCATAAATTGTTCAGTGTAATGCATGAAGAAAAAAACCTACCCAAGACATAATACTGTGGAAAATCAGACTACTAGGAGCAAAAGATCTTAAAATGGCTTCTGAACAGCAGTATTGGAAGCTAAAAGGATGCCTTCAAAATTGTCAGTGAAAATTACTCATTTTCAATTGAGAATTTTATTCCTGCCAAGGGGCAACTGTGCATCAAAATGGTAATGATGCTGGTTGACTAAAGTATCTTTAGACATGTGAATTAAAGAAGAAAGTGTAGTATACATGCATCTTTTTTCAAAGATGTCATTAGAAGTTGAATTCCACCAAAATGAGAAAATAAGACAAGTACTGTCCAGTAATGCCCAATATAACATAGCTAAGAGCAAGATTAATTTCCAAGATGACAGTAAGGAAAGTTTCCAAACAGTTGCTGGGCAGTAACCAGTCCACATTACATCAGGTTATGGAGGTCTCCAGGAAGAAATGCATGGGAAAAAGTAGAACTGGCAACACTAAATGGCAGTTCAACTGTTTGGATAATTGCTTTGAGAGACATTTTACACAGCTGTCGAAGTGTGTGAGGTGTTAGCCAAAGAAAACTAAAGAAATGAAATATAAAGTGGTAATTTCAGGAAATGAAGTTTCATAACAGCAGGTCCTTGAATAACAACAGTTCAAGATTGTTTTGTTATAACATTGATGGGGAAAAAAACAATCCTACAAATGCTGAAGTAATGTTAAATTATGGACTGAGTTTTATTATGCTGTTTTGTTCAAAATCTCAGTTTCCAAGAATGTGATGACACTGAAGACTGATCCACTGGTTCAACATGAATATTTATATAATGAAAATATTGAATATTGACAAAAAAACATTTGATATAACTACATCAGGAGACTGGTTGGAAGGTCAGGAGAAGAAAAGCAGCTGAACTCATTACTGAAACATAAGTTAATAGATTATCTATAAACTCCTGATTCAAGAGATAACTGAGTACAGGATTGCTTAGAAATCAAGGTTAAAAACCAGAAGCAAGCATAAAAAGAGTAGAACAGGTTATTTCTGGAGAGCAGCTGGTGAGGGGGAATGTGGGAATTTATTTTTTTGTTAAAAGATCCTTTTTTCTGGGATTTTTTGACTTTGATATAGTTATGTATTTTCTTGACAAATATGTAATTATTAATTTGATAAATTATACCATTATCTAGCATAAGCCTAATGTGTACAGAGGGGAACTCTGAAATAGAAGGTAAACTTCACAGTCCTACAACTTGTGTTGTCCTAGCCCAAGGCAAGGAAGTTGGCCTTTCATGTTAAAAGCGGGGACAAGGGGAGATGAAAAACACAAAACTGCATTTGGTAGCCAACAGGATAGCACATACAAGATGTAAAAGAACTGAGTGGAATCCCTGACTCATTCTTCCTCAACCTTTGTATCACAGCAATCAAATCCTACCTATGATATTCCCCAGTGCCCTGAACTCTTATCTATGTATGCAGCCCTCACAGCCCCTCCAGTGAATTTCAGCAACACTATTCTCAATTTCAGCTTGGTATTACCCCACACCTTCCCTAAGAGCAGGCGTGATATCTACCTTGTTTACCATGTTATACCTAGCTCCAGGCATGTACTTGGTACAGAGCAAGCACTCACGAGAGATCTTAGCTTTTTGATAAATGAATAGAGATATTTTTGGAGACAGGAAAATAAAAAGTGATCAATCATCAGGTAAAGACTATGCCATTGCATATCACTTAGACTCTTCATCCTTCCCATCACACTATAAATAGGGTCTCTGAGGGTTGTACTTCATTTATTCATTCGTTTACTTATTTAGCTAATATTTCAAATGAAATACTCATATATTAGAAATGTTGCCTTCATAATTGTGTAAAAGTTTAGAACAAATGTAGTTTAGAGAGTCCAATTTAATTAAAAGGAACTTGAGAGTCCAATTTAATTAAAAGGCACTTGCCAGGTCACTGGCTAATACTGTGTATTATTGACTCATGTTAGAATTTGTGTTTTAATGCCACATGAAGAACAAGGTTCTTGAGTTAATTCAGTGTGTTATATTTGAATTCCTAAGTGTAAAGTGTTTCTATTTGGATTTTAAAAGTTATGTAAAGGCAAAATTTAGAGAATTCATTGTTTAGCATGTACAGTAAGAATACTGAGAGGGAAAAAAACAAACCCAACCCAACCCCCCTCAGAGTCTGGTCATCTCATTTCTTTTACTGAGACAAATAAAAGGCATAGGGTCAAGTCAGCACAGTTCTTTTACTCTGGATCCAGTTTTGTTATGTGTGGTTGATTTAATCCTTTCTGCCTTAAACTGTAATATTTTCTGATGTTTATTTCAGAAACTGCCAACAACAATTCTGTTTTAACACTTAGTGAGGCAACATGAAAAGGCTGGATTAAGTTTTGCTTGGCTTTGGTAATAAAAGTACACCTTGGGCCTCCCCTGGTGGCGCAGCGGTTGAGTGCTGGGCTGCGGGGTTGCCCGCAGCCTCTGCAGTGCCGGTTCATTCCCCCGCTGCCAGCAAGGGTCCCACAAAAAAAAAAAAAAAAAATATATATATATATATATATATTGCTATATTATATATATTATATATATATAGCTTATATATTGCTATATTACACCTTTATAATCACAATTTTTAAATCAGTGTTAATCAAAATATAACAAATGAAAACTATAACTGCTAAGAAAAACCTGTGCCTCCCATCTTAGCCTTATGTTTTGTTGCTACACACTTCAGATTATGAACTGAGACAAATACATCTTAGGCTCAAGTGTTAATACACTGTTATGTTTTAAGAGTTCTTTATTCTAGATAAAAAACTTTGTCACATACACGTATTGCAAATATTTCCTCCATGACTTACCTGTACAAACTGGCACTGGTATACAAATCGGGTTCCTGAAACATGAGCTTGTGGATTGGACTGGAGACCTACATATGCCCACAATACCTGGATCTCTAGGGAAACTGGTATGACACAGCAGGAAGTACAATGTATAGCCTGTAGAGGGAACAGAAGCATGAATTACATGAAGTAATGTTAAATTATGGACTGAGTTTTATCATGTTGTTTTGTTACATCAGGAATCTGCTGAACTCCTGATGGTTGCATATTAGTCATCGTATATTAAGTAGCTATGGTTTCTTTCTTACTTCACTTGATTGGAATTTTTAATTTGTTAATGTATCATCTTTATGTGAAAAGGTGAAATTTTATAATACAATTTCAACCTCAGAGAAACAACCTGTGCTGATGAAAGGTTTAAGAATGTAAGAGAATACTGTTCTATGATATTGAATCTATGATATAGAAAAGTCTTTTGACTTTCTACATTTAAATGTTTTCTCTAAGTAAGGAAATACGTGTAAACCTAACCTGAAATAATTACTTCATATATTGGTATGATTTCTCATTTTCTTCCTTTTATGACAACTATACTATCTTTCCTTTATAACCATATCATTTATGGAAATAGAGCTAGTTTTAAATTTTAATACCTATGATTTACAAATGAAGGGGGAAAGCAATGTGTTTCCCAGAATGTGTTTCTCTCCTTACTGAAACACTGCAGTTCCTGGTGAGGATACTGGTCCATTCTCTCTTCTGGGCTGGGTCAGCATTACCAAAGATGGCAACCTGCTCTGGTCTAGGCCTTCCGTGAAGAGTCTGATAAATCTCTTGCTGCAAGTGGATGCAATCCCCCTTTTCCAGTCTGAAATGAAACACCATGAGGTTGGAGTCTAATGTCAATATAATAATGTAACTATATTAACATAGTAATCCAAACAAGTAATACATAAATTGGAAGAAATGATCCATAGTAGGTTATAAAGGACTGTCAGAAACTCTTAGCAATATTACTATTGTATAGATTATTAGGCTATTCCTAACTAGCATTCTTTGAACGGGCATTCAAAATATAGAAGTTGCCATATACAACATATTCCCTATAGACAAAGACACATTTGTTGTAAGTGATGCGAAAGCAAAGAATTACCTGAGCTTGCATCCAGATGCTGCATTTACTCCAAATTGTACGTCACGTCTCTTAACAGAGCATGTTCCATCACCCTGGCTCTGAAGCAGGGTCATCTGAAGTAGAAAGAGACAATCAAGGAGATCATAACAGAAAAAAGAGTAAGCAACTTGGAAAATTTATGCTCACTGCCTCCTTAGTGTTACTTACATTTTATTAATATCATTGTGTTACCATGCAAGTCACAAATTTGGCTTTTGCCTTTGATAACACACAATTACTGTTTTACTAAAAATGGTTAACTATACACCAGCATATAAATCTTACTGAAGTAAACAAAAATCATTCATAATTCTCATCTTCGTCCAGCCTACCATATGTTCTAAAACCTTAGGTAGGTCTCCCTGGTGGCGCAGGGGGTTATGAAGCAGTCTGCAGCCTCTGCAGCACGAGTTCGATCCCCGCCTGGCCAGGGAGAAACCCATATGGTGCGGCAGACCTCTCCTGTCTTGCCCGCTGCTCCCCTCAGCAGTGTATTTCAGTCAGTCTGGCTGTTCTGTTCTCCTCTCTGTCTCTGGTGAATCCTCTCACCCCCTGCATCTCTGGCCTTTACTCTAGCTCTTGTATGCATTAAATAAATAAATCTAAAAAAAAAACCTTTAAAACCTTAGGTAGCACCAACATTTGAGAACATGATGTACTATTAATTTCATAAAAGAAGTCCCAAATACCTAAAAAATGGTGGAACTACAGAATTGGAAATACAACATATCAGCAGATACGGCTTTTTTCATTAGGCTGCAACAGGCTATCCAACTCCCCCAAAAGGATACTGGGTGACTTCTGTCTCCAGCTAGAGCCAAGAGTGGCTTTCCAACAATATAGCCAGGATTCCCACTTCTAGAATGAGTAAGAGAAGCAACTGTGCTGTGTTGAAAAGTCTGCAGAAAAGAGTGGAGGCAAGTCAATGATGGAGAAAAGCACACTCTCCCACCTTCCACTGCTTGCCTTCATGCCTACCCTTAAAGCAATGCAACACATTAGCTGCTAATTGCATTAGTTAGACGAACAGTCTGGCTTCCTTCCACAGTGTAGCATTTTACAGAAATTTCTAAAAGAAAAGGTATTTCTTTCACATTTTTTCATTCACTAAAAGAAATCCTAAATGATCTGAATATTGAAACTCACTATATGCTACTTTTACCAAGGATTACAATCAATGATCCCTCAACCCTAAATCTCAAAAATTATTATCGATTTAGGACTCTGCTCAGCCTTGCTGAAACCAGAGAAATTTAAATTCAGAAATATATTTTGATGTCCCAGAGATGTACTCTGAGAGACACAGGACTTGATCAATCAGCTAAGAGTAAGCTGAGAAGAAACTGAACTCTGGTTGGCTGAAAAAGAAGGCCACGAAAAGGTGGCAGTCAAAGCTGGAAACTTAGAGTAAGTAGGAAATAAACCAAACCCTGAATGGCCAGAAATAGGAAAAAGCTAGTGAAAGAATTTCTGCTGGATACTGGTTTATGATTCAAAATGATTTAAAAAAAAAAAAAAAAGAGTACTGTGTAGGGACCAGATAATCAGAAAAAATGTTACTGAATAAACATAGTTGAATCCTTATCATCTATAGTTAAAGTATGGCATATTAAATTTTGAGGCCTCAATTCACAAACTGAACAGGCCTTCACATTCTAGTTGGCATGTGTTGCAGACAAACTATTTCGAACCCAATATCCCCTCCCCTCTTCTTAATCCCCTACTGGAGAAGGCCTTAACCCTGAAACGAATGATGAATTGTTGCTGTAAGGAAGTGCGTGGCTCCACTGTCAGATTGGTTTGCCCAAAACTGACAGACACTTTCTGGATTCCAGAGGTCCCATTAATTTCTATCTCATAGATGACCTGAAATACAAAAGTAGAATCAATCAATAAAAATTGTTTAGTGGGACCAATTATGTTTAGGACACAAGATGTCCTGTCTTTAGGGGTTTTATTTTTTTATTTTTAATTTATTTTTATTTTTTATTTTTTTGTGGGACCCTCGCTGGTGGCCAGGGATCAAGCTGGCGCTGCAGAGGCTGCGGGCAGCCTCGCAACCCAGTGCTCAACCGCTGTGCCACCAGGGGAGGCCCCTGTCTTTAAGGGTTTTATTATCACTGAATGAGGGTACAGCACAGTGACTATAGTTAGAGGTACTGTATTACATATTTGAAAGTTGTTAAGATAGTAGATTTTAAAAGTTCTTATCACAAGAAAAACAACTATAATTAAATGTGGTGATAGAGATTAATTTTATTTTGATAATCATTTTGCAATATACATTAAATCACTATTTTGTAGACCTAAAGCTAATACTATGCTGTGTGTCAATTATATCTCAATAAACAAATAACTGACTGAGGAAAGCTAAAAACATAACATTAAGATGCCAAACACAAATACCATGAAAAGGCTAAGGTTGACTTCATATTATAGATACATATGAAAAAAGAAACTGGATAGGGTTTTGAAAGAGTTCATGAGAGAGGTAAATTTACTCTAAGAACTGTAATCAGGGGAAAAAAGTGCAGAGGAGGATGGTAAAATTACAGGCAGGGGTAAGTATGGAATGGAAACCTGGTTTACTTGGCTCTCCAAAAGTCTAGAAGGAATAAAGACAGCTGGAGATGGAAGCTGTAGACAATTGAAGGTAATCCTAGATTTCTGAATAGTCTTTAAAATAATGTTTTAAAATAATTCCTACTGCTTTATGTTGATAAGAAGAGAGGCATTAGAAGAAGTTGACTAGTCTATTTTAGATTTTCAGGTGATACTTGGAGAAGAACATGTGCTAAGAATCATAATAAATTATGTATGGCGGGCCTCCCCAGTGGCACAGTGGTTGAGCACTGGGCTGTGAAGTTGCCCGCAGCCTCTGCAGCGCCGGTTTGATCCCTGGCTGCCGGCGAGGGTCCCACATGGTGTGCAGTCCTCTCCTGCCACGCCCGCTGCTCCCCTCAGCAGTGTACTTCGTCAGTCTGCCTGTTCTGCTCGCCGCTTTGGCTCTGGTGAATTCTCTCACCCTCCCACACTTCTGACTGTACCCAGTGCTTGTATAAATAAATAAATCTTAAAAAAAAAATAAATTACATATGGCAAAGAAAGAAGTATCAAAAATAATTTCGGGTTCTGGACATGAAGTACTGAAGGATGCAGCAGTGGATATGAGTGAAACATGACAAACTGAAAGAAAGAAGGAAGTGGGCTCAATTCTTGACTTGTTAAGTTTCAGAAAACGCACAAAAACTCATGTGGGGCTCTGGGCTGTTATGGTACCTAATAGAAAATGAGACCCCTCTAAATGTTGATCAATGTGCATTGTCATGCGGTCAGCATCCCTACCTGGGAGACAACATTCTGACAAGTGTTTCCCACCAGCAGAGGAGAATCAGCCTGGGAGACAAGTGTTACAGGAACCTGGAACTAGCAAGGGAAAGTAGCACGTCAACTAACATCGAAAAAAGAATTTTCTAACTCTAGATCATGCTGAAATGAGTATTTTTATGACATAACCATCACCTTTCTCTCTTCTTCCATTGTCAGCTCACAGCTTAAATTCAAGTCATTCTAAATCAGCACTTTGAAAAATATTTCTCAGAACATTACCTCTATTAGATATAAAGTAAATTTCTATGGTCAGATGAGTTTACCATATCCAATATACTCTTCTTAGAGATTAGAAATATGTTAAAGGTCCCTAATAAATCCATCATGTTTAACTTTATGTATTCTAATATTTTCTAAACTTATCTAAGACCTTATGTATCCTTATTTCATATGATGCTTTTAATCATATAGAATATACTTAGGAAAACAATGCTTTAGATTCATACTTAAGAATTTGATACATACATATTAGTTCTCTGACTGAAATTGACTCAGAAGCAAAGGGGCCAAATAGTGTTTCTTTTTTTTTCTGATAAACGGCCTCATACCTTCATATTCTGCAGATCAGTTATAGCTCTTGGAACCTAGAATGAGAGAACAGCAGGGTCACGAGTGTGCATATACCTCACAGAAGATCTCCAGAAACTTGTGATTTAACATTTTGGGGGGGGGGGGGGAATCAACATGTTAGAATGATGTACTTCCTCTTTTCTGACTTTTCCTTATGCTAAGATGCCAGGAGTGCAGTGGGGGGAAGGCTGGAAGGATTGTGATGCCCACTTATCTGAGCACAACTCTACCAGACAGCAAAAGCAAGTTTTGGTAAAACAGCGAGTCACTCCCTCTAACCCTCCCGAGCCAATCTCACTAACCTAGAGGGTAAGAAGCTCTTAGCCTGGCTATACACCCTTTCATCTCTCTTCACATGATAGGGTTTCTAGGCTCTCTGCCCTTTATGTTGCTCTTGGGAATTCTGATTTGCAGTTCAGTCCTTTCACTATAACCCAAAAGTGGGAAGCATGCTGACTTCAGATCCACGGTGGTGACAGAGAGAAGGTTTACGCACCTTCAAGACTGTAAAGTTATAGTAAGAGGCAGCACTGAGCGCTGGATCCGAGGTACAGCTATTTGCCAAATTCTCAAAGAAACGAGCGCAGGTTGTACTTTTACTTTCCAAGAAACCTTAGTACACAAAGTGGTAAATGAAAAGGCCAATTTTATTTTTTTTTTCAGCCTACATATACAAATTAATATCAAGAAAGCCAATTTTACATTGAACAAAAAAGGCTGGTACTTATGCTCTGAACTCACCTGCAGGATTGTTCTCGGCACAGAATCCCCCAGCTCCAACTCCAGAAGGCTGCTTCAGCAAGCTTGTTACAGACCATTTGGAGAAGTAAGTAAGGATGGGGTCCCCAGCCTGAACCAAATATAGCAGAAAGTTATTCATGCTGAGGTTAGACTGAACTCCACCATAAAAGAAAAAGTAAAAACAAAAGTTAACAGCTTGCTAATGTGGTCAATACTGCCTTCCAAAAGAGTTGACTATGGTTAACTTAGTTGCAAGGGTGTACCTCAAAGACACTTGGTCAAGTGCTGACCATTAGGGAAAAAATAAACCAACCAATTCCCTTCCCTTTTTCCTTAGGCTCACCCTGTAAAAAGGTGGTGGTGACTGGGTTTGGAATGTTGAAGTGAATGAGTCTCCTCCAAACTCTGCAGCCAGTGCCTGGAAGTTGGTTGCATTGACCGTTTGGGGCTTCTGGAAATAGTTTAATTTTGCTAAATTTTTTTTAAAAGAAAAGAAGTTTAGATAAAAGGAAAGCCATTTATTTTCAAATATCTGGCATATTGAGTAACTAATTTTTAAAAATATTTTTATTAAGGCATAATACATACATAGTATATAATATATATACAGTACTTAAATATACTAGGCTTGAATGTAAACTCAAAGAATTTTTACAAATTTACATACTTTATTACTACCTCTCAGATTACTACCTCTCAGATTTTTTTCCCAGAAGGTTCCCAATCAATACTCCATTTTCAGACATAATGGTTCTGATTTCTGTCACCTTCTAATTTATTTGTAATCTGTTAATTGAATTACTTAGGATTGAGATCAGAGAGAAGAATATGGTCAATGAATGCCTGTCAGTTCTAAGTCTCTAATACCAGGAATATGTATGATTAGCAATTTGTGATAAATATAGGAGTTCCAATAATGCTCACATTTGCCTCACGCCAGATGAGTCTATCATATAATAAAAAGGTACTGTTTACTTAGGAACATGGCAAAGCTGGAGACAACATCTGACTTACTCTCTCCAAATCTTCCTGTTTTTCTCTAAACTTCAACCAATCAGTCCTAATGATGTTTCCACTTTCAAGAATATAGACTTGTCATGTTTTATTCCTTTCACCTAATAATTTCTACATTCAAGATTTTTTAAAGGGGCATTTTCTAAAATAATTCTATAATTCTATACCACATCTTCCTGATCCACTTACCTCTCTTTGGGCACTTAAGGTGTTTCCATGGCTTAACTATTGTAAATAGTGCTTCAGTATGAGTGCATATATCTCTTTGAATTAGTGATTTTATATTCTTCAGTGTTGGGGGTGGGGAGGGCTAGATATCTAGGGGTGTAATTACTGGGTCATATGAAGAGTCATTTTTAATATTTTGAATAGCCACCATACTATTTTCCACAAGGGCTGGACCAGTCTATTCACTTTTCATTTTTATTGAACTCTACAGTTACAGAGAATTTTCATATTTGAACTAGTGATGTTTCTTACTTTGCAGTTGAAGAAATGAGGCTGGCAATGCTATGGGTTTTGCTGAACTCTGTACAGTTGGTAAGTAACTGGCAGGACTTAGAATCTAGTCAAATGCTCTTTCCCCTACACTGTTACCTCTTCAAATAAAAACTCATTTGTAAAGATATTCCACTCAAATATTATTTGGTAACTCTTATGTGTCACATGCTGGGGGTTCAGTGAGTACCTTCAATATAGCAGTGAGCAGAGATTGTAGCAGTGAATGATATCACCTATCTGATAAGCTAAGAGGGATTTTTGAAATTAAAGTTCTGTATGAGTTTTCTATCCACAGCAAACAGAGCAAAAGACATGCAAATATCCACTAATAAGAGAAAGAGAGAGGGAACAGAATGCGATGGAGGATGATAGTGATTTTCAAAGCATTTAAAAGCACAGAAGGGGGGAAAGGCTAGAGACAATGCCAATTCTCAATAAATGTTAGGCAGTAAGAATAACCAACATGTTTCTACTCACAGTTGTTCACATGGACACAGAACTGCCTAATTCCATTAGAATCCGTGAAAACTCTTGTAGGAAAGGGGGAATTACTCCTAAAGATAAGAGAGTTGTCCACACACACCCAACTTGAAGACCTGTAAGGAAATAAGAGGGAGAGCAGCGATGGAGTGTTAGAGCCAAAGAAGGAAGCTCCACCTTATCAGTCAGATGCCTAAGAGAGGACTTCTTGACCAGCCATAGGACAACAGGAAGGTCCTCTTCTACTGGACAGCATGGCTCTGGGAATCCAAACAGGAACTCAGCTCCGGGAAAAACTAAGACTGTTCCACTTCTGGGAGTGGAAGTGGAAGTGGGAGCAGGAGGCACAAAGGATAACTATTTCCAAACATTCCCTATTCTAACGCTCCAGTTCCAGTTTGGCTGCACCCTGAGCACCCCAGCTCACCTCACACTGCCTGGCAGGCAGAAGGAGAAAACTGTCCTCGGATGGAGAAGATAGCAGTCCCTGTCGCAGCAGCAATTTATATCACAGGCACCAGGAGTCAAGTCACAGACACAAATCGGTAAGACTACGGAAATACAACATAAAGCACAGCAAATGGGAGGGGGATCCCCAATCTCTTCCACGTGCTAATTGCTGCTCTTCCGACAGCCCCACTCCTCGCTTTGTGACAATTCACTTCATTCACAGCATTCTAGAGCTAAGGCGGTAGTTTCCATGCCCACATGCCCTCCCCTCACCTGGGAAGAAGTCACCGGTCCTATTCCCGGGCACCGAGGGGGTCACGACAGTAGGGTTCACAGTGGAGGCCCCAGGCATAGTCCAGGGAGTTTCAGTCCCTTCCGAGAGGGACTTGGGGGTCCCGGCCCGCGACCCCGGCTCCAGGTCCGAAGGGGTGGGCTCTGCCCCCGTCGGGAGGGAAGACGGCTGAAGCCGGACGCCGTCTGGCACCATCAGGAACAGCACCTGGAACAGCACGAGCTGGGAGGCAAACATGGGGCAGCAGACGACCCCCACGGTTTAACGTGGGTTTCCGGGTCTCTAGACGCGTCGCTAGAGCGTGGGTGGGAGGAGTCCCCTGGCGTCTGACGTTCTCATTGCGCATTGGTTCCTGGCGATGGCCGAGAGCTCTTTAGCCAATAGAAAGCCGGGTTGTTGCACCGCTCTTAGCATCTTTTTGTCTGCGTCCTCTCCTGGCCGCGTCGGGCGCCGCCTGTCGCTTGGCAACCACTAAGTGGTCAAAGGAGCCCCTGCTCTTGCCCGCCGCTAGAGGACAGCAGGCGTTCAGCTCAAACTTCACCGCCCAGGGAACCCAGCCTTTCTCGGACAGAGGGAAACCCCAGAGGCTGGAACTAGAATCGCATACCTTTCCCACCCGGAGAAAGCCTAAGGAAAGAGTGATTCTAGGGAGGAAAATACAGCGAAATTCACAGGTCTTTAAAAAATAAAAACCAATATTTTTTTCGTAGGCATGTAAGATTTCACTCCTTAAAATTTGACGTTGGGTAATTAAAAAAATAAATTCATGAAATCATTAAATGTGCAAAAGTAGCAATAAAATGTGCATATTACTAGAAAAAATAGTGAGAAGGTGGTGGGAGATGGACTAGTGAAACCTGTGATCGTGAGAAAAAGGGTAAGGAAAATAGAAGCAGACTTTCTAGGAAGTAAAGAGAAAATACAATGGAATAGCCAAGGGATGGAGAAGAAAATTTACCTTCGCTATTCTAATCCCACTTTTTGTAATTCTCTTTAGGAAGTTTGGGGTTTTCCTGGGAGTGGCCTATCTTTTCTGTGCTATGCAATGGAACTTTTAAATGTTCTTTCTATATCTGCACAGTTGAGAATGGCAGCTACAAGCTGAAATGTGGCTATGGCACACTTGAAATTTGGCTATTTGACCGGGGAGCTGAATTTTTAAACATTAATTCAAAGTTAAGTAATCATCTGTGACTACTAGGTATAATGTGAACAGTACTAGTTTAAATGATCAAATTTTGATTCTGCTAGACTGTGTTTTCCTCAGGCTGCATAATCCTGACTTCTGGATTATTTCAATTTGTTGGTTTGGGGTATTAATTAAGATTTGTTAGAGTTACCTAGAAACTTAGGACAGTTACCTAGAAGCTTTCAAAGTGATTCACTTAGATATATTGCATACATTCTCAGGCATGCTTTTGATACTCCAATTTTTTGCAGTCAGCAGTAAAATTTATCTCTCTTTTAAATATTCTCAAACATATTTGTATATGATTGTGTGATGGACTGCTTGCTCCAAGAGACATCTATATTTGTGTTTGTTTGAAAAATTTACCTATCTTATTAGTAATTTTTGTAGGAAAATACCAAGTTCAGATTATTCAAGTTTTATTCCTAGAATATAAGCTTCAAGAGACAGGGGTGTTTTGTTTATTTTGTTCACTGACATATTCCATGCCTAGAACAGCACTTAGGATAGGTTAGATTGCATTAAATATTAAATAAAACCCACAAAAATTATTTTGAACTTTTTAGTTTTAAAACTCATGAATATGGGCCTCCCTTGTGGTGCAGGCGGTTGAGTGCCACACAGTGAAGCTGTCCGCAGCCTCTGCAGCGCGTGTTCCATCCCAGCCGTCTGGCGAGGGTCCCACATGGTGTGGCAGACCTCTCCTGTCACACTCGCTGCTCCCCTCAGTAGTGCATTTCATCAGTCTGCCTGTTCTGTTCCCCACTCTGTCTCTGGTTAATCCTCTCACCCTCTTGCACATCTGGCCTGTACCCCGGTTCTTGTATAAATAAATAAATCTTAAAAAAAAACCCTCATTAATATTTACACATTATATTATTTGAAGATTGCTTCTCTATATATAAAATAAAAGATCTTTATGTAAATAAAAGATTATTTTAGATTTTGGAATTTTTACACTGTAATTCTTTTTTTTTTATTTTTATTTTTATATTCCCCATACAATTACAACTCTGATTTTGACCCCAATCCCTCCTTCCCCGCCCCCCCAAAGAGTGTCCCTGGTTCATAGTTGTTTGTTGATTTTGATTTTTTCTTTCTTATAGTTATTCTTTTTCCTGGTCCATATTTAGGTTTTCTAGATTCCTGTTATGAGTGAGACCATCCGGTATTTTTCTTTTTCTTTCTGACTTATTTTGCTGAGCATGATCCCTTCCAGTGCCATCCATGTTGCTGCAAATTGCATGTGTTTATCTTTTTTGAATGCTGAGTAATATTCCATTGTGTATATGAACCACATCGTCTTGATCCAGTCATCTATTTTTGGGCATTTGGGTTGTTTCCAAAGCTTAGCTATTGTAAATTGTGCTGCTATAAACATAGGGGTGCAGGTACTCTTTGGAATTAATGTTTCTGTGTCCTTTGGGTATATACCTAGGAGTGGAATTGCTGGATCATATGGAAGCTCTATCTTTAGTAGGTTGAGGAATCGCCACACAGCTTTCCATAGCGGTTGGACCAGTTTGCACTCCCACCAACAGTGCAGGAGAGTTCCTTTTGCTCCACAACCTTGCCAGCATTTGTTGTTGCTAGTTTTTTTAATATTACACTGTAATTCTTAATCCATGACATAGCAATCATAAATTATTCCCGTATTTATTAGCATTGGCAGAGTGTTAATTGAAATAATTTTAGGGTTGAATTTATGGAGCTAACATTTCAAGCTCTTTCTGAGATGCTCTTTTTCTTAATTTTGAACTTTATTAATTTTTAGAATAGTTTTTCTCTCTTTTGTTATTGTGGAACAAAAATATGTTTGTGTTGTTGATATTATATTTTTGTAGGAATATCTGTTATATAGAACTCTCAATTATTTTTTTAAGATTTGTTTTTTTAATTTCTTTATGCATACAAGAACTGGGGTGTAGGACAGAGGTGAAGTGGGTGAGAGCATTCACCAGAGACAGAGTGGGGAACAGAACAGGCAAATCTACTGAAATATACTGCTGGGGGTATTTCACAGGAGAGGCTTGCTGTGTGTGTGCCATGTGGGTTAGCTCCCTGGCCAGGGATCCAACTCATGCCGCAGTGGCTGGTGATGATAGCTTGATAGTGCTGAGACTTTAACGCCTGCACCACCAGGGATGGCCAGAACTCTCAATTCTTTTGAGATATAATATTAAAATCTGAAAAATAATTTTGAGGAAGGAGAATGAAATTTATTCACATATGTCATGCAGATGTTATCTAAGCATGGGTACCACGTCATGAATCGAAATTACTTAATGTGATATCACCTCAGAAGCAGGAATTTCCAAATTAGATCATATGATATTAGCAGCTGTTTGTGTTTGGTATTAAAAGACTTCAATATGTGCTTAGAAATTTATCCAAGAGATTGAATCAAGATGGCAGAAAGATTAAGTTTTAGCTTCTCCTGACTCCTCTCATTTTCGAAATTTCCAAAATTACAGAAGAGTTAGAATCACACCCATATGTAGCCATTTACATACTTTGGTATTGAAAAACAAGAAGGAGTGCTTTCAATGGACCAAACATGAGAAACCTTAAAAAATAGAAGGCAGATGGGTTTGGCATTTTGAAAGAATGTCTTATGGTGTTGGCTTTTGTCTCTGAATTACAGAGGGTTAAAATCTTCTGTCTGGTGGGTACTTAATGGGATTTTCATTTTCAAAGTTGACCTGGTTACTCTGACCTTTACTAATTCAGTCACATGTTAACAGGTGAGAGTCATGCTAGGCCATGCATAGAAAAAAAAAGTTAGAAATAGTCCTTTAATGGTTAATTCTGAAAGGAAAGTCTCTGATAAAACAGAGGCCTTTAAGTTAGCCAGAGAACTGCTTAGAAAGGTTCCTGAAGTCTTCCCCAAAACTTTGGATTAAAAAAAATCTTCAGTGCCTCCCTAGTGGCGCAAGGAACCGGGGGTTCAGCACTATGAAGCTATTGCTAGCCGCTGCAGCATGAATTTGATTCCCGGGCAGGGAGCTGACCCACAGGGTGCAGCAGACCTCTCCTGTCTCACCTGCTGCTCCCCTCAGCAGTGTATTTCAGTAGATCCACCTGTTCTGCTCCCAACTCTGTTTCTCTGGTGAATCCTCTCACCAACCCCCCTCATATCCCCCCCCACCCCATACCTCTGGCCTATGCCCCAGCTCTTGTATGCATAAATAAATAAAACAAATCATTAAAAAAGAAAGAAAAAGGAAAATCTTCATTAATATACTCAAAAACACAGTGAACCAGTTTGATTTCTTTGAGAGACTTGAAGAAATTATTAAGCGATTCTCTCTGACACTGACAATATTATGAAATTTTTTCCTCTTTAATTCCACCTTTGCTAATGGGTTAAAGTTGAACTTAGCACTCTAGTTCAAAGATAAAACTTAAATGGACCACTATGGAGCCCCACGACTTGGTAGTTTTGCTGATCAATTGCCCTATGCCATACAGTGGACTACAAAAAAGAAAGTGGCCCAAGTTTTGGACCTACAAATCCAAGTGGCTCAAATTCTGAATTTCCAGTTACAACAACTGACTCCAACTCTTAATGCTCAACACAAATTTCAGAGTCCCCTTCCTGTTTGTAAGGAATTTTTAATTACTCCAAAAAGCCTGGACATTAGCAAAAAGATTGCCTAAATGGAAAAGACAATTGCAATCTAAACAGCCTATGGATTCAGAGGGAGGAATGTCCACTCTGACAGCAAAATAGGAAGACTCTGAGGACAAAAGTGGGATTTTTACCATTGTTAACAGAATGAGGTGACTTGGACTCCCATGGATACAGGAGCCATATTATCAGTTCTTAACACTACAAGCCTCCTTCTCCTTCCTCAGAATGCAGAAACAAAACAAGTGGTAGGAGTGTCTAGTACTCCTATGACAGTTTTTAGGTCTTAACCTATCCTTTTCCAGCTAGAATCTATTCAGGCAGTCACAGTTTTTATTTGTCCCACTGATCCCTATTTATCTATTAGGCCATGATTTTCTTGCAACCTATCAGGCACCTTTCTTCACATGAAAGGGAGAATTATTTTTAGAAATGACAAATCCAAATATAAGAGCAACTACAGAAAGTGGGTCTGATATGATACCTCTTT